CGTTTATCGGTTTTTGCAAATGAACTCTTCATATCTAAACTGTTAAATGTGGACAATTAGGGAATAACACAATGAAACACAGCTTTTGAAACAAGGTGTTTTGTGGAAAAATCTATAGAAATAAACTGACTTAACTTAAAATATTGATTTTCATCCACAGTTTTGTATTTCCCAACAAAAGGCAAAGCAAAATCTTTTATAACCTTAACATTTATTCTAAACGTTCATGACGTAAAACTAATTATTATGCATAAAACATCATGCATATTGTGCATAATCAAATCAAAATCAGAATTTATTTTCAAAGCACTTAAAAAAAAAACATGGAGTGCTGTACAGTTTTAAAAAATTATTATTAATTTATTGTAATTCATAAATTAATTTTATTATTAATTATTAAATTAAAATAAAATACAGTTAAACACAAAATAGAAAAAAATATATCATATTAGAGAAAGAGATTAAATTATCTTTATAATTAGTGAAGTGCTCAGCAAACAAATATGTCTCGAGTCGGATTTAAACATGCAGACATCATCGGAGTTGCTCAATTAGGTTTATTCCATAGCTGTTAGAATTCTCTTATACTTACACATATTAAGCTGGCGAACAAAACTGGCCATGTTATTGTGCTTAAAATATTTCGGCAGAACCTCTTTGGAAAACCTGCCCTGGTCAAACACATGGAAGCTGTTGCCGCTCTGAAAACACATCAGAAATGATTAAAACAGAAAGTTTAGTGAACAAACACAACAACAACAGACCTACAAGATGCCCAAAGATTCAAAACAGCTTCAGTTCATTCTGAAACTGAAACAGATCTGTAGCCTTCCCTGATGGTAAGCTAAAACAAACCCAAGCACCAGGCAAATCCACTTATAACACTCCAGATTTAGACAAGTGACGAATACTATTAATTCAATACTTTACACGTTCTTATCAGAGTTTATTTCGTGTCTCTGGTTTAAGTCTAATCTGACTCATGACGACTGAATCTAAACTAATAAGGCAAATCTGTTAAGTATCTCAGGCCTCTTTTTACCCCAAATATCAACAGGCCCACTTCTAACACAAGGTAAAAACTACAGTAAATTCAGGTTCCTGTGCCTCCAAATCAGAGTTTTTTTTTAGGACGTGCTGGTTCAGGCCTAGGCTAGCTCATCACAGATGAATCTAACTCTAATCCAGGTCTGTAACCCTTCCTCAAACCCCCGATCAGACTCTAAACTCACAGGACTCCAGCAGATCAACGGGTCTGTGTCCGGATCCTCCACCAGCGTCCAGAGTTTGGTCAGAAACGCAGGTACATTATTACCCGAGACCATCACACCTCCGGGCCCCACGCTGTGATACTCCATCATAGATAGCTTAGTGATTGTTTCTGACGATATATACACCTCTGTAATGAGTCACTGCTGAAGAGCAGAATTACACACTCAAAGTGTGGCTGTACGAACGCAGATACGAAACTGATTCTCTTTTCTCCTCGGAGTGCACGGATCCCGTGTAGAGAGCGATATATAAGATACAATTAATTTGAATAAGTGTTTTTGATAAGTCAGAAGTAGTGGAAATTTCCATTAAATCCGCACAACGTTGAAACTGCGTAGAAACAAACAGCGCTGAGAAGAGTCGCGCTCTGATGACGCCACCGCGACGCGTGTTTAAAAATATAATACACTTTTTTTAAAGAGCGTACACACTAAACACGTAAATAAATACACATACAATCTTAATTGTATTTGTTTAAATGTGTTTAAAATAATTAATTTGTACAAATCAAAGGTTTAAATGTGCACTCGTTCAACGTTGAACTTTAACATTTTGCCTCAGAAGCAGTTTTAATAAAAACGCACTCAATTCGAAAGTATTATATTTTTAGAAACGACATATTGTAAGTAAATGGAGACTAATGCTATTTGAAAACGGTTTATATAAAAAAAATAAGTAAAACAAACCGAACGCGTCGCAGTTTGACCTTTGACGTCATAGATTCAAACCCACATGGTCGCAGTTTCAGCATGCGTCCAACGCACAGCGGCACCATGAGTAAATTAAAGAATAAGAAAAGAAATTTAGAGGAGAATGAAGACGAACAGGTATGATTTGATACTATACTGATATAACGCTGTTTCGAAGCAGTTAAGAGGCAGTTTATACATAACGCGTTATATAATAACACGCGTGTTTATATAGCGCGAGGTTGACTTGAGGTGTTCTCACTTGATGAGATTAAGATTAATAATAAAAATGGATGTATTTACATTTATATTATTTATTGAATGAGTGTTAATAGACTGTCAATAGACAATTTCCCTTAACCCGGCTATTTGTCTACGATATTATTATATTATAATATAAACTTTGCAGTCAAAAGGTTGGAAACACATGGCCAGGTA